ACATTTCTTACATCTCTAATTAATGATTTCTTTGAAGTATAAAAAGATTAGATTTATTTTGTATTTAAACAAGAAATTTTCTTTAAATTTTTAAAATAACAAAAGATCAAATTCAATTTTGGATTGTCTTTCAGTGTTTTGATCTTATTTCCGGAAAGAATAAATTTTTTAACCAAAACTTATTTAATTGATATGATTACCCGGTGATTATTTTTATGCAACTTTGAATTACAATTTAAAATAAATAATATTATTTTTAAAGAGAAAAAAAAAAAAAACAGATTACCTAACTTCGTTTTTGAAACTTTCAGGACTTTATGTAACCCGTAATTATTTTCAGTAGTATTTATATGTATTGATGTAAATTTTAATACATTTATTTTGTTTATTTAGAATATCAGATTTTTATAAAAAAATAATGAAATTTTTTTAACCAATTAGTCAATACAAGAGTGGAACCAATCAGCCAATTTAGCAGTTTTTTAACGAATCAGCCAATACAGGAGTGAAAAATATATTTCAGACACAAAGGAGACATTTTATTTTCAAATCACTAATAATTTAAAAATTGATTTTAAAATTTTAAAGTCAATTCATAAATATGCATAACACAGTAAAAAATGTTGTTTTAATTACCAATTAATCTTAAAGTATAATTTTATGTTAAGTTTCTTTGTAAAATGTTTATGTGAATTCATTTAATTTGATCCTGATTGTTTTCAAAATGTTTGCTTCTAACACTTCTACTTAACTTGTTTTCACTTGTTTTACATGCACTTAACACTTGTTTTCACTTATTTTACTTGTACTTAACACTTGTTCGCTTGTTTTACTTGTATTTAACACTTGTTTTCTTGCATGTTTATTGTTTTGTTTTGTGTGGTGCTATTTTGTTGTTATGTGATTTTATAACGTTGTTTATTTGGTTTGCATGTTATGTTTATACTAACACTTCCACACTTTGTAACTAACATTTTGTGTTTTTATAATTTTTGTATTATTACACTTATGATGTAATAAATATGGTGCTATTTGTGTGAATGAAATGTATTTTAAATTTCCTTTCCTTCCACTATCTGTTTATGCACAACATTTTTTATTTTCGACAAATTACGATGATGCACTTTATTTTTGCACAAAAATTATTAATGCACGAATTCAATATTCATTTCTATATACCCTTCCATTTAATTACATGACGTTTGATTATTTGCATTGCAACCCTTTGCATATTTTTAATTATTAAAAAAATTGATTAATTATTTTTGAAAGCTGCACTCATTAAGGATTTTTATATTCTCACATTGCATGGTTGTAGATCTTAATAGAATAATGGAAAAATCATTGTTGATAAGCTATGTTTGTTTAAAATTAATAATTAACATTAAAAGAGTAATTTTTTTTGATGATAACTTATACAAGTTTAGTTATGAAAAATATTTCCCCAACAGATGATTAGAAAATTCATAATAGTCTATTTAAAGAAATAATGTAATTCTATATAATATTTTTAATTTCTTTCATTACCGTATATTTCTGCGTAAAAGCCGAAAAGTTTCAGAATTTTGTTAAACTAATGTGTGGATAAATATAAGGATCCATTTGTCTCGCATAAAAAGTAGGTGCTTTTCCGTTAGCAGAACACTAGTGTCAAATTGCTACACATAGCACGTTTTTATTTCTTAAGTTTACAAAAAAATTAGACAAAAGGAGGTATTTATTTTATGAAAATGAGATTTTATCTAAGAAAATGTTTATATTGCTGGTTTGTTGCGTCGTCGCCAAAACTAAAAATCTGATGCCGACCATAATTACAGAAGAGTGACAAAATATACACAGACATCATAATAAAATATCCTAAATAATGAACTTTAGTATTTTGAATTAATATCCGTTAACTTTAAAATTTCTAGCGCATGCTCATAGGAAACTGGAGCATGCGCGCTAGGGAGAAAAAGCTAACGGACGTCCTACGGTAACTAACGTACGGTATGCAAAAACTCTCTATTATCATAAATAATAAATGCTACAAGAATTTTTTTTAAATTTCGTTTTATATATGGATTTTGAACTTTAGTAATTTTTCCGACGGAAAAATGCTATATACTTACTTGAATTGGCTTACATTTGGAAATATTTTAGAAAACGTTTACTTTGCTGTTTGTAGCGTCGTCGCCAAAATACACCGGAAATAATAATAAAATATCGTAAATAATGAACGTTATTAGAATTTGTTTTTAATTTCGGCTTATATATGGATTTCAAACTTTAGTAAATTTTTTGAAGGGAAAACGCTTTATACATGGATCGGTTTATATTCGGAAATATACGGTAGTTACAGTAATATGAAATTAATTAATTTATTAAGTGTCGATAACGAAATGATATATATATGTGATATTGTCCAAATTTAAATCAAACAAATACAATTCAGAAATGCATCAAAATATTAGAGGCCTTAAAAATTTTTCGGGAACTTATCAATAATAAAATAACAATTTTGTTATAAGATAATAAAGTAAATATTCTCATGTCAAAAAAAAAAAATCTATTAAAATTAAAAGAAAATTTATGCTATTATTTTAAAGCATGTCTTGATTTGACATTACAAAAATGAAGAAATTTGCAAAATGCAAAAATTTGCACGAAATATTTTTACTAATTTTTTTTGCACGAAATATTTTTAACGTATTTTAAATATTCTTACTTTTTAGTTTTATCATCTTATCCAAATTTAAACGAACATTTTCACTTTATTTAATTTTAAACATATATTTAGCGCATTTATAAAATTAACCGCGTGGTAACACCGCGTGCCGTTGGCAAATTTGGGACCTGAATGGCCGAGTGTCTAGCGCTCTGGCGCTCGGTACCACAGGTTTTGGGTTCGAATCCCGGCGGTGCCATGGATGTTTGTAGTGGTTCGGAATCCACTTTAAGCCGTAGGTCCCGGTCTCCTATGACTGTAAGAGCGTCACGGAGCAAAAGTCAGGCTTCTACCTACGGGTGCTCCATCACAACAGAAGCTGCTTCCTTCCCCTTCAATCATGAGTGCGTATGGGCTCGCGGGCTTGGCCAGCCAAGTGGGATAAGAAACAACAACAACAAACAATAAAATTAATAATTTAAGAGTTTTTTTTTATATACATCCTTTTTAATTTTTAAATAAAAGATTAAATAAAATTTAAAATATACTTTTATATTGAGTCATTAAAAAGGACTTAAACACACATCCAAATTCATTAATTATTATTTTTAAAAATTTTCTCGCATTTTAACCCATATTATATGTTTTATGTCATTTATTATTATAAGAATACATTCAATAATTTTTAAGAAATTGTGTATGACAAATTTTTTAAATAAGTTTGAGTTATTAGAAGTTGCCTTATTCTTCGACAAGCATCCATATATAAATAGCTTAAATTGTTATAAAATACAAGATTTAGTTTTTATAATATTTACTACTAGATTTAGTTTTATAACATTACAAGATTTAGTTTTTTAACAAGAAATAATATGCTCGCTATATTTTGCATATATATGTACATATATTTTGAAATAATTATTTTTTCTTTATCCGTTTGTCTGATTTCATAGGTCAAGAAAATACACCCAAAATTAATTTTAAATGAAGCGTTATTTTTTTTTAACTGCGATCTGTGTTTTATCTTCCTAATAACTTTTCAAAACTGTTAACGACTAAAATTTAATATTGTTTAAAAATAGTAGATTCATTATTTTAAAAATATGTTTAAATTATACTAAAAATTACGAATGCATTATGTTTATGTAAGAAATATGATTTTTTATGCATTCTTTTGTAAGAGTTGACAAATATTTCACTACTTTTATTAAATAATTTATATATTAGCTTTAATAATTTTAGTGTTATTTAGCTATAGACGAAGGATTTACAAATATATTTTTTAATTGTTTTCGTGGAAAAAGCAGTACTATTAGCAAAGTAAAAAAAAATCATTAAGTACAACTTTGAAAAACTGATGTTATATACATTTTCAACATTATATTACATGGTATATTACTAAAACATCATTATATTACATAGTATTACTAACAACGAATGCCAACGGTCGTACCATGCTGAATATACCGGTTCTCGTTAGATCACCGAAGTCAAGCATCATTGGGCGCGGTCAGTACTTGGGTGGGTGACCACCTGGGAACACTGCGTGCCGTTGGCATTTGGGACCTGAATGGCCGAGTGTCTAGCGCTCTGGCACTCTGTGCCAACAGGTTTCGGGTTCGAATCCCGGCGGTGCCATGGATGTTTGTAGTGGTTCGGAATCCACTTTAAGCTGTAGGTCCCAGTCTCCTATGACTGTAAGAGCGTCACTGAGCAAAAGTCAGGCTTCTACCTACGGGTGCTCCATCACAACAGAAGCTGCTTCCTTCCCCTTCAATCATGAGCACGTATGGGCTCGTGGGCTTGGCCAGCCAAGTGGGATAAGAAACAACAACAAACACTAACAACATTATATTAGATGGTATATTACATTGTAAACATATATTACATTGTATTTATTCATTTTCAACATCATGTTCGCATTGTATTTTAATATACAACGTGAACTTATGTAAATATCAATAATTTTAGTGTAATTATATAAAAAAAATATTGATTTTTTTTAAAGAAGATATCTTTTATTTTTTTTAGTGATCAACAAGTTTTATATATGTTTGATTTAACATAATATGTCAGTTTAATTATTCCCATAAATATTTATAAATTAGGATATAATGTATGAATAAATGTTTTATTTAAGAATTGTGTTTGCTTTAAAATTTATAAATAAATAACACATAATGATAACAATATACTTTTTTTTTATATTTCAGTGGTGATACGAGATACTTTTAAATAAAGAATAATTATTTATAAAGTATTATTATTTAAGAGGTAGAAATTATTTTAATATAACAAATTAAATACAGGATTGTATTTTTATGAAAATCTTTATTGCTTTCATAGTTTTAATTCGTTAGATCACCGAAGTTAAGCATCATTGGGCGCGGTCAGTACTTGGGTGGGTGACCACCTGGGAACACTGCGTGCCGTTGGCAAATTTGGGACCTGAATGGCCGAGTGTCTAGCGCTCTGGCGCTCGGTGCCACAGGTTTCGGGTTCGAATCCCGGCGGTGCCATGGATGTTTGTAGTGGTCCGGAATCCACTTTAAGCCGTAGGTCCCGGTCTTCTATGACTGTAAGAGCGTCACGGAGCAAAAGTCAGGCTTCTACCTATGGGTGCTCCATCACAACAGAAGCTGCTTCCTTCCCCTTCAATCATGAGTCCATATGGGCTTGGCCAGCCAAGTGGGATAAGAAACAACAACAACAACAAACATAGTTTTAATGTTACATTATTATATTACTTCAGTTACAGTATGTATTCAATAAACGTCTTGTAGAAATTAGAGAGGAAAAAATATTCGTAGTGCTAATATCGCTTAAAAAAATATTGTTAAATTGATGGCCTTGAATTTTTTTCCTACAAATTATTATATATTCTCTAATATTTTCAGATTTCCTATAAGATGTATGATTTTTATTTGATTTTATGAATAAATATGATTTTATAGATGTTTTTCGGGATATTTTTAAATTACTTTATATATAAAAAGTACAAAGTTAAAACTTTCGTATTTCGCGTTATACAAAATTTTTAAAGTATCTATTATCGCCCTGAACGCTGGTAGACAGTGAGTGGGTAGATAAACAACAGTAGCTAAATTAAAAACTTGTTAATGGTATTCTCAAATATGACTATCTTTTTAACATTATATTTTTCCTTTTTATTTGCTTTTGACAGTAATGCTAAGTTGTAATAATAGTTGTAATACTAAATTGACCGAATTTTTAGAGTTGCGAATAAAACACTTTTTTAATTTAATATTAGGTTAAAACATATAATCGTAATAAATCTTGAAATTCAAAACAGAAACAACAATGCTTATTCATGTTGTTTGTTGTTTCTTATCCCACTTGGCTGGCCAAGCCCACGAGCCCATATACGTGCTCATGATTGAAGGGGAAGGAAGCAGCTTCTGTTGTGATGGAGCACCCGTAGGTAGAAGCCTGACTTTTTACTCCGTGACGCTCTTACAGTCATAGGAGACCGGGACCTACGGCTTAAAGTGGATTCCGAACCACTACAAACATCCATGGCACCGCCGGGATTCGAACCCGAAACCTGTGGCACCGAGCGCCAGAGCGCTAGACACTCGGCCATTCAGGTCCCAGATTTGCCAACGGCACGCGGTGTTCCCAGGTGGTATTGTAAATACCACCTGGGAAGATATTGTAAATTCCCCAGATATTGTAAATGTTTTACAAAACTGAATTGAATTATTTTTATGTGTATGAGAGTTTACATGTATGCCATTAACAGCAAATTTATTTGAAGAATTGATCTCGGATATTTCCCCCTTCACCTTTTCTAATTAAAAAATTGTCGTTTAAATATGTTTCATCGCTGTGAAAATTTTACGAATTTACCAGTTAGTAGATATACCATAGTTAGTAATCAAAGTTAGTGGATAATTCACCAAATTTAGTAGATAATATGTCTATAAATTATCTGTAAGTATATATCATTTAGTATTAAGTATATTGTGAATTTAAAATTATCATATGAGTTAATGAGTTAGAGAAAATTAACTTTATTTGTTGTAGTTTTTAAATTACAAAAATTAAAAATGAGTTAAACAAAAATTGGTTATTAGTTATGAATTATATTAATTATATAACAAATTATATTTTTTTGAGAATCAATTATTTACGTTTATCAGATATATATACTAAATTTAATCTGCAATAAACTTAATTCACATATATTCGTAGACATTAATAAAGTAAAATCTATTCTTTCCTTGTTCCAAAACTGTTATGGAAGATTGTTTGAGTATATGGTAGGTATAAAGTAGATAAACATAAAATAGATCATTCTTTATATATTTCTATTTTAAATGCATTGGTTTTACGATAATTTGATCAAAACCATAGATAAACGTAAGTTGGAGTACTATTCCGACATATATTCTTGATAAGGGTATATATATATACACTGTAAGTCACTTATAATATATAACAGATTTCGATATTTTTTGTATTTTGTACGATTGCAATAGGTGGCTATGATAGTTAATTGGTGAAAATATTTTATTAAACATGATCATTATCATTTATATTTTTAAATTTAGAAGATCGATGCATTCTATGTTGGAGATTTTGGTTAATTATTATTTTTTAATGATAATGGTTTATAATTAATAATTAATGATGTATAAATATAATTAATATATTACTATGATAAGGGTCTTGAAATTTTAAAATGCAACCTTGATATAATAATGAAATTCATTTCATTAAAAATATTTTTAAATACAGTTACTAATATATTTAACTATAAAACTGTTTTCAAAAATCTTGTATAATACTTAAAATAAACCATTTTTAATTTTAGGAAATTTCTTAAATGCGTTTAAATATTTCATTTCCTTTTGAAAAAAAGTCTAATGTTTATTATTTATTTATTAGAAGAAAAAAATGGTTTTAATAAAAGAAGTTTTCATTAGAACAAAATAAAAACTCTTTTTTTTTAATTTTTATATTTGTCGTACACCTTAATGTAAGCGCTTCTATGAATTTTGGTTTTGTTAACTATTCAGAAGTAAGTATTCATGAATTCTTTTTGATAAATTCGTGGAATGGAAGCTTAGTGATAAATGATCTTGTTTAATGAATGAAATTAATACTTGTTTGTTTCTAACAGGTGATGGGTTTTTACCAGATTGTGGTGTTAATGGTAATCGTCAGAAGAATGTGTGGAAGTGTGGAGTATGAAGTTTAGTTTTGCTTCTCTTCGTCATCCTAGTAATTTATTATCAGGTGGGCTTTCTGTTGTTTTCTGTATCTTAAAAGCCGTGGAGACTCGCTTTATGCCTCCTTTTCTGTACGACTAACTACTTGCATGGTAACCGACGCGTCTATTTCCGGTTCCGTTCTTTTGCATGAATTCCAAGATGGCGTCCACCAATCATATTAGGCTTAAGTGCTTCCTTGTAATAGTGTCCTAAGCGCTTGATATATAGCATTTAAGTTGGAAATATTTTGTTAATTTAATTTTTTTGTTTATTTGCAGAATTTTCTGAAACCTAAGGAAGCTGTGATATTTCCACGAAGTTATCTGTATCCAACTTCGCAGCAATTCATTGATTATAGTCAACCATCAAATCGCTTGCTTTTGAACTACAACTACTACGGATAATTGAAAAAAAGAAAAATTATGTCCAAGAGAATATTGTTTTTGATCTCATATTAAAGCACAAAACATTAAAAAAAAGGAGAAAAATAAAGAATTATCTGTTTGTGTTTCAATAAATCAATATGATAATAGTCTTGATATTTTAAAATGCAACCTTGAAGTAATAATTAAATTGTTTTTTATTAAAAAAATATTTTTAAATATTCAATTATAAAACTGTTTTGAAAAATCTTGTATAATACTTAAACCTCTTTTTAATTTTTGGAAATTATTTAAATATATTTAAATAATTCAATTTTATTTGTAAAAGAATTTTTGATGTTTTTTTTAATTATTTATTCTTTGGAAATGTAATAATTTTTTTGTAAATTGACTCTTGAAATTTGTTTAGTATTTAATTTCAAAAGTATTATTTGAAAATTTATTTAATTTTATTCAAATATACGTAGAAAAATTGTTTTATTTTTATTAGAAATTTTATATATTTTATTTGAAAATTAATAATTTTATTGTTTATTGAATTTATTTATTTAATTTCTTTTTGATATTTAAGAAATTGAAGATGGCAAGTTACTCGGTTGTATTTTATTTGATAGTATTGTTTACATGATATTTATTTTTAGTTATTCGAAAATTAAAGTTTTATTATAAAATTTAAACTAAATTGTTACTTGTTAAATATTTTTATAATTTAGAAATTTAACTATAAAATTTTAAAACAAGTTAACTTTTTATTATTTTTGCATAGAAATTACAATTTTTTTAATTTTATAAAATTTGCATGGAAATTTTTAAAGGCTTTTTTTAATTGGTGCTGTTTATTAGTTGTTAGTAATTTATGTGCTGTTGTTTATACATTTTATGTTTTTTTAAGAATGGTGTGTTTTATTTTATTTTATTTGTTTTTTAAATGTTTTTGTAATGTTTTTTTTCAATTAGAATAAAAATATTTAAAACGAAAAATTGATATCTTAATAAATATGAATGCAGTTGACTGAATAATTCATTATGTTCAGTTAAAAAGTACAACGCAATACTTTTATTTATTATTTAAATTAATAATTTAGGAAAATATGAATTATTAATTTTACTGCTTAATAAAATGTTTTACAATTTTCCATTTTTCTTTATATTGAATGCTCGAAAAGAAATTCTCATAAAACATGTATTGTTTTAAAATTAATGAATTAATGAAAATGAATGAATAAAAATGAATTAATGAAAATTAATGAATGAATTTTTTGAACTATATTTTCTTCTATAAGAAAAAAGACATTGCATTTTTGTATTATGAAAACATATACATCTTTTTAAATTGTATATTTTTTAAAGTGAAATTTGTATTCTTTTTTTCTACTTTTAAGTAGTTTATTGCTAATAATTTTACAAATCTGGAAAAAAAAGGTTAATCTGATGGTTGATTGACAACAGCTATCTTGAAGTTTTCAGCTACTTTAAATATTTTAGCGTCTTAGAATTAAAAGCACCGTATTTTGTTGTAGTCAGCAGCTCCATGTTAGTTTTAAACATGTTTGTTATTTTATGTCTGTTTTTATCGTATTTATTTCATTGTCTGTTGAAAGCTATTGTATGATTAAATAAAATATTTGATTGCATTTCTTTCTCTGTGTGTATTATTTATTTATTTAAGTATAAAACATAATATAAAGACGTAAGAAAATTAAATAATATGAGCCAAAAATTGATGTACCAATGAAATTGCTAATAAATGTAAGCATATACTTATAATAAAGGGTATGTATATTTCAATTCATGTTGTAAAAATTAGAATCATA